AATAACTAAACTTTTGTAAAAGCTACATGTACATATGTATGTAGAACACAAAACTATTATTTTTTTTTACTCTGTTAGAGATTTTTTTCCCACAACTTTAAATCACTGCGAATCAAGTTGGACTGTTGCGGATTTTCTCTGTCATTTTGTGGTTGTTGAATCCTTTTTTTAATGCAAATATTTTTAACTTTTTATCAACGTTTTTACACATATATATGTATGTGTATGAAAATAAAATACATAAATATTTTACAAGAATTTTGTGGTTTGATGACTATAGTAAATCAAGTAAATAAGAGCAATTAATTTTATCTGTCAAATAATCTGTAGGTTAGCTTGCATATAAAATTTAAAGTTTTCAATTAAAGTGAAAACGCTGATATTAGTTTTGGGATTTTATGAGTAGATGTAATATTGCTTTTAGTAAAGTTATAGTTTTAAAAAGCTAAAAACATGCTTTCATTACAACAACTATAGAGTATAAAATAATTAATTATATTAGTTATGCGAGCTCAGACAGCTTTTATAACAAGCCTTCAAAGGCTGCTGCTTCAAACCTCTTTTGAAGGATCGCAAACCTCGAATACAAATAACGGAAGAAGGCAGACATACATATGTATGTGGACAGAAGTTTAAATATTGCCCAACAAGTAAAGAAAATGACTGTTACACTGAAAAACTATTTTAGAATTAAAGAAAAACGTGTTAAATTAAAGAAAAAATACGCTTATGAAAGGCACCAACCCAACTCGTTATAAATTTTAGTATACAAATTTTAGTATTTAGTATGGAAGTATTCAATTCAAATACGCCCCTATTAAAATGAATGCTTTTTATTAATAATTACGATAAAGAAAACAAAAATTTTATTTCCATGTTACCTGCAATGGGATTTGAATCCTGACCCTCTGGAAATTAACAAATTGTGGCAAGTATCTCAGCTACAGCCAGATATGTAAATTTGCCTTTAAATGTTGATTTTGAATCAACACCACAGCACGGTATGAAAGTATTATTTTTAAATACGAAGATTTTAAAACGATAATCAAATAAAAAATATTCATTTTTACTATGCGTTATTTCCCTCAGTGAATTCATAACATTTTTCTTAACCCTTAATTAGGCGCATGAGGTATAGGCCATTTCAAGTTGAAAAAAAAATGTCTCGGAGGGCTTAGAGCGCCCTCTCGCGCTCTTTCTAGCTTCCTAACTCCCCGTGCGGTACGTAAGTTGGTCACGGCCAGAACATCGTCGCTACTCTCTTGAGTGCTGACTCCACGTGACCACTAACGTAACATTTTTTTGGCGGAGGAAACCTTTTAATGGTTTTTTAAGTTTGAGGTTAAAATTATGTTTTTTTTTTGTTAATTGAACGATAATAGAGTACTTTAATATTTTTGATAATACCCATTTCGTTTTCTTTTTACTTGTTTACTTTTTTCAACACTTTTATTGTGGTCACTCGGGATCCCATGCGACTAATTGTGTGATTTTCTGTATGCGCCTAATTAAGCGTTAACTCGTTTTTTTCTCTCAGTGTAGTTTTATTTTAAGTTTGATCCATAAAGAAATATCGAAGGAAACAAATGTAGCCATTGAAAGCGTAGCAGAGAAAAACAAAATTCACAATATTCGCTTTGTTATATTTAACGTTAGCGGTTAGCGAGATTTTAATGCCAGTCAATTGACAGATCGGTTATATATCTGGAGAAATAATATATTTAAATAGACCTTTATAAAAGTTGATAACACTGACTTTTGACCGGTTTTATTATACAAATACTTCTTTGTGCAACATGAAGTTCCTGATAACTGCGAAGAATATTTTTTTTTTTGGCTTACAAACTTTTCTGCAATCTGAATTGAAGCTACTCCTACTAATGTACATGCATGTGCGTACGAGTAACCATCCATCAGTTAAACAGATATTGTAAATTCTTCCACAAATAGGTTGAAATAAAAATTCTTAAAAGAGGAGTATATACTTCAGTACTTCTACAGACAAATGCTGCAAAAGTACACTCGATTGAATTAATAAAGCATCACGGAGCACATTTTTCAATAAACGAACAAAAACAACAAAACAAAATTCGAGATAAAATCTCTATTAAAATTTAATAAGAAACTCTACTCATCTCGCTCCGGTTCAACAGAGAAGACAAACAGAAAGCTAAGTACAAGCCAGAAACGCTATGGAAACTTTACGTGTCTATGGGACGTTGCAACTCAAGGACACATACACGCATGTGACCGCTTGTGCTCTCAATCCAGGGAAAGCATTACAATCCATTGGCAATAAGATATCCTGTATCAGAGTTTCGAATCAAGCAAACAAGCAAATAAATTAATTCAATCACTGCAGTATGTGTATGTGTGCGTGTGTGTGTATCTATGGTGTTTCTATGTAGAAATGTGCCCTGCTCAGCCCATTGCCAGATACTACATGCACCTTTAAGCTACTGCAAGTGTGAAAAATTTTATTTCTTTTGTCTACGGATGCATTGTTGGTTTTGTAGACTAATTGGAATGGAATTGTTGGCTGTTTTTGTTGTAATTGCAAATTGAAAATTAGTAAGTAAATAAAATAAAGCTCGAGTAGATAAAGGTAGACAGCTTACTTACCTTAAGCCGAATTACCACTAGTAACCACCATTGTCATTAGACATTTTACTATTTAATGCCTAGTGGAAATTCAGCATAAGACTTTAAATCTGTAATCATAATGCCGAATTTCAGCTAGGCTTTGGAGTGACAAAAATGACAAAAGAAAAATGTATACATACCATTTAAAAAATGGCATATGGAAAGTGAGCTAATTATTATTATTTTAAACGTAATGACGCAGATATATTTTCAATACTCCACTTCACCATCAACATTTTTGTCACTTAATGTCCAGTGAAAATCCAATATAATGCAATTCATGAACAAAAAATTTTAAAATTAGGAAGCAAGTTTAGGGCATAGAGTAACATAAATTTAGGATTATTATTTGTTGGCATTGTCATTTGTCATTATACTTCCTTTAATCCTGGGGACATGCTTTTATCTAAACAGGCACACTCCTCCTTTGGTTAGGATGAAGTGTTTCGTATTTATGAGCCCGTTTACTTACCATGCAAATCGTTATATCCCACCTACTCAACCCAGCAAGTGGAGTCTTCGAAACTCAAATGTTCTTTATTTCATTGCTGAAGTGCTATGGGAAATCCCTAACTTCTCTTCGTGCCTTCCGATGGCAGCATGGCCTGTTATTATGCAGATTTCGTTTGCTAAGTCACCTGCTCCACATGAGGACCGTTTTTCGTTCCATTTTGGCCTTATAAGTTTCCTATTACTACAAGTGGCGAGACTTGCGATTCTATCACTAGCAGTAAGCGAGCAGTCTTCGTCCAACTTCTCGCTGCCCGGTAGGGTCAGTGCCCCGGAGACAATACCAATTGAAGAGCAGATTGCTCAGTCATCTCGTTTAAAGATCTGTGGCAGATCGCTACGGCTTTCGAGTTGCATTTGACCAAGTCAAGCACTTCCGAGTGGCGTCCCACTTTCTGATTAGAATTAGATATGGTCCTTAATTTCCTGGGTCTTTTCTAAGTCTTTGGACTGTCCATTGGTAAGCATTCCTCCACCTTCGTTGAAAGAGCGATCAAGTAAATACGATTGGATTGGAGTTTTGGTTGACGGACACCCAGAATTAACCATAAACTACCATCTCTTAATAGACTACTATCAATTCTTAAGCTCTTCTTCTTGGTTTTCTTTAATCCTAAGCGAGACCTTGTTCATATACTAAGCCGGCTTAAGACTGCTTTTATTCAACAACGAAGGCAAGTTTTGTCGGGGCTAGGTGGTTCATGCTTACCTGCTTTACCGCCATGTCAATTGTATGTGCCTTAGCCGAGAAATTGAAGTAGTAATCGGCGAGTCTGTAGGACTCTCTAAAAGTGAAAGAAGATGCCAGATGCTTTTTAAATGTCCATTTTGGAGTCATCCGAGTTGAATGGGATTTCAACAGCGTTTAGAACGTTCTTAAGCAACCGTCGGGAAAATGAATTTCGAAGTTGCTGTCGAAAATTATTCTCGTAAGATAGATATAAACATAGAAAACATAAGTGTAATGTCCAGCAGTCTCTTTAATGCCACCAAGAGCGTTGAGTAGATCCGGTTTTCGCTGCATCTGTTGCAGGTTAAAGAGATAGGATTTGGTGTCAACAGCAACCCACCATTGTAGAAGCTCACTAACTGTCGATATGAACTTCCCTACGATCAGAACGACTAAGCATAAAGTCCACAGCAGACCAGCAGCGAAAAAAGAATCCAATTTTGGGGGCTACCACGTCTAGCTGTTTTCCTTACATCTTCGATTCCCATTTATGCTCTCAACCTATTGTCGATCCAAAGAAGGATCGGTGGTTTCAATCCTACAGAAACCTTAGAGGAGTGAATAGACGTCAAACTAATAACTTTAAAGGCGCCTTTCACGTCCAGAAAGCCTGTTACCGGAAATCCAGAAAGCGTGTTAAATTCTCCCTACGATTTCATGCCACACTCGTTCAATCGATCCGCCTTCATGCTGAGCCGCCGCACTGAAGTTTTCGGAAATAAAGGCGGAGCATGATCTGTAGACTCAGAACTCCCCATCCCAAGGAGTTATTATGGCAATCGTTTGTTGTAGCATCGCTGGTATGATTCCATTCGGATCAGGAGTTTTGTACCGAGTCCTAAAAATGGCCAAAGTTTAGTTTTGTGCAGGATGAAACTCCATTTTGACTGCTTTAGGACTAGGTAGCGACATAAACTTTTAAGGTGGCAAAAACCCCTCTCGTTATCGGAGCGACCCCGTCTAATGTACAAGCGTATGCAATTGCAAGACCCCTAAATATCTGCTTACAAAATAGCCTTTAAATTCGTATTTTAATACTTAAACGCTGACAACTTTAATTTTCACAAACAAAAAAGTTTTAAAATGAAAAACTATATTAAAAATATTTAAACTATATTTAACTGCATTTCGCTTTAAGTAGACTAGACGTTGGCAATAAATGCAGCTTGCTTCTGCTAGTCGCCGTATTGCTGTATGAGTTCAATTGCTCGGCCGCTTGTGTGGCGCGTGCCTGTTGCAGCCGATCGAATTGTGTATTGTCGTCTTTCGAAGCTAAGGTGTGCGCTTGCACATTGTCCGACTGTGCAGACCGCGTTTTCGCCTGATCTGCCTCCTTCGAATTTATCTGTAGCTTTCGCTGCTGTTGCTGCTCATTGCGGGCCAACAACTTTGGTTTTCTTACGTACTCACTGTAGTAGAAATCAAAGAATAGCACAAACATGAAAACGTTTTGTGTGATCCCGACAAAGGAGATCAGCACCGGATGTTGGCAATGATTGAACACAATTGCCATCGCAAAGTGTATAACCAAATAGCCGAACTGCAGTAATTGCAATTGTGTAATGTAACGCTTCCACCAAACGGATTGTTTAGCCGGCCACACCGAAGTCACAAAATAGTAGGAGTACATAACGGTGTGAATGAGCAGATTAATAATACCCAACATAGTGCTGTGACTGCCTGTAGAAGATACAATAGTTAAAGAAAAATGAATATTAGCTCGCGTGAAATTAAATTCCGGATATGGGAGTGTTGGAAACCGGAAGCGCTAAACTTCGTATTCGGTGCGATTCGTGCGATAGAATCTTCGTATTCTTTACTTTTAATGACATTTTGCTGTCTTCCGTTATTCACACACAACACTTCACTTTTGCATTTCTATCAATGTTTACTTGTTGCTATCAAAAAAGTTACCTGCCAAGAAAGCCACGAAAACGTAAACACCGAAAATCATGCCGGCGTGATGGTAAACATGCAGAAAGGTGATTTGATTGTTCTTCTTGCGCAACACAAAGAAAATCTGTAAAAATAAAAAAGAGGATGATATAAAGGTATTAGTGTGAAAACAATACAAAATAGAACAAAGTACATATATACATATGTGTACATTAGGGTGGTCCAAAAATGCATATAAAAATTAAAGTCGTAATTTTTATGCGCTCACCCCCTAGGATTGTTCTATACCGAAAAAATATACCTCTATTTTTTATTTTGAAATCAAAAAATATCTAGAGGTTGCTCAAGGCGCTCAAAGTTTTCCATGTATTTTATATGGGGGAAAAACGACTTTTCGTAGAAATGGAATAGAATATTTTCGATCGGGAAAACTCTGTTCTTCTCCAGAAGCCTTTCAGTAACAATACCCAATAGTATTAAAATTCGGACTTTACTTGTTTTGGAACACCCTAGTGCATATACATACATATGTACCTGAGCGAGCGGTTGTGCATTTTAGCAGGTCAAAGTGCGCTATGAATTGGGCTGAAAGTTTTAGCAACATTATTGTTACAACAAAACTCATAAACTGATAAGCTTTAATGGCTTGACCTTCAACTAAGCTCTTTCTAAATACACTCAAGTCATTTGATGCTACCTGGGATAACGTCGATTGGAAATTGAATTTTGTTTACTGATAGTAACCAAACTGACAGCGGAAATTCACCTACAAAGCAACAAAAGGAACATTTAATTATAGATTCTGCTGAACTCTTGAATTGAACATCGACTACGCGTCCTAATACATCTTGCGCTTTGACTATTGTAGTGCCTTTGTAGCTGAGCTGAACCAACGACAAGTAGGCAACACTGGTAAAATGGCATACTAAATATAAACGGAGAAACATCCTATTCCTATTCTAAATGTCTAGGCGGCCTTCAAATTCATAACCAAAATTTTTACAACTTCAACACCAAAAATATATAAACGGCATGGCTAAGTCATTGCAGCTGCGACTCGGCACTATTCAAAAAATAAAAATCCTTAGTAATGTTAAGTGGCTCATGTCTTACTAACTTACTTTAGTAAACCTTACTATTTACTTTTGCAAAGTGACATTCCTCAACATCTCGGTCATTTACGCCCACGTCCCGACGGAAGAAATTACGAGAAAATTAAAGGCATCTCATGGAGAAAACTACCGATACAGGTAAGTGGGCAAAGTCAAATGGACTTAGCCGGCCGACTCCACCAGAAGTAAAAACTAGAAACCAAATCGTCCAGGCTGTCATAGACCAAAGTCACGTTACCCGTGTTTTAGACACGCGAATGATCTGAGGACCAATCAATGAGGCGGACGTGGTATGTAAACAAATCTTACAAGAGGCAAGATACGCACACGCCTCTGAAATAAGTGCGTTCAATAAGACAGAAAAAACTCAACGTTAAAAAGCTCTCATCATCGCAGACAGCAAGCATATTCTCACATCAGCTCTCTGACTGGCATTTTCAAGCCTTGGGACCTCATTCCTTTTCCATACCGTACCGCCCACGGAGAGCTAGTTGGATTTGTGGGGGACCAATATACGGAGCTGAAGAGAGATGCGTTAAGTATTTTCCATAATAATACGTGAGGAACAGATTGAAATGCTTACCGAAAGAAAGAACGCCCAACATTTTTTTTAGGAAGTTAGGCGACTTACGGAAAGTTTTAAGACCAAATCGAAATAATCACGGCGATCTAGTAAATTAGATATAGGTCGATAGGGTAGATTTTTTTTGCATAAGAAATCGTAAGATTTTTCTGAAATTAATGAAAATATTTTTAACCGACTTTAAAAACAGGAGGAGCTTATCAATTTGTTCCCGTGTCATCGCATAACATTGGACCACGTTAACCGATTTCTATAATTTTTTTTTTAAAGGAGTGGTCTCATGCTAATTTAGTTTAGATCCGATCATTGGGCTATGAAGAAATTAATATTATAGTTTTATACCGTCGTTTAAAGTATAAAACCGCGTATCGTCGTGCTGCAAAACCGCGTAACTGTAATTTTTTGCCGAAAATTGGATTTTCTCACCGAAGCTCTTGGCTCAAGCCTTATCCATTCACTCTGAAATATACAAGCCTTAAATGCGATTGCCTTAAAAGAGAGAGAACCATTTTGAAATCTTGATACGTGGTTTTCCACTTTAAACGACTATATTGGAATTGAAGTCGGTTTTGCTTTTTGTTTAAGAATTACTTGTTTTTTCACAATTTTATTTTCTAACTAAAAAAACTACTGTTACATTTGTTTTTGTATATCCGGAACTGATTTTGCTTACTTTGTTTCGCAATTATCAACATTTTTTTTAATTCCAAAGTTGGTCTTTCGAATGTATTTATGGACACTGTTGGCCTTTGAGCAAAGAGCAAAAGTACTTTTGATTTTGATTAGCAGGAAATATGCATACATTTGTTTGTAGAGGTGCGTAAAAAACATCGGTGCTGTAACACAGCAGATGTGATATAACAACTTTAACTATTGCTTTTTTTTATTAGAATTTCCAATGCTTCTTATAATTATATTATTTTTGTTCCCATAATGAAGGATTTCTTTTGTTTATGCACTCCACATTTTCCACTCAATCTAGCCTTGACTATAAAAATTGTAAACAACACATTCAACTCTCAGCGGCACATAAATTCTAATTTTAAGTAATCTATCAACTTTCTTCGCGGTCACAGTGCACTTTTTTCACTCACAGCCCTCACTCTACCCCCCCTTCTTTCGTTATCCACCCATCCCCCTGGCCACTTTCCACCACAAATGCTTAACTGCTATAGTCTTTCAGTGATTGGCTTACCGTGTCAAGTAAATCCAAGTACTTTGTAATGTAATAAGCATAGGAAAGATAAATTAATTTCCACATCCATGGCTCTGTGTTGGTGGGGTCAATCGGCTGACATGTTAAGCTGAACTCTTTGCGTAAATACGAGTTTGGTATGCCCTATGAAGACAACAACAACAAAAAGACATTGAAAATAGCAGTAAGTAAATCAAACAAAAAAAAAAGTTGACTAAATAAAAAACGGAAGCCATTAACAAAATTAAAACTGCTACCAAGTAAATAAAGTTAAAAAAAAAGTATTCCAATCACACGTAATTACGTACTTACCCATACGAATATAATGAAATTGGCTATCACTTGTATCGCATTATATACGCGCATCACATTTTTCAAGTCGAATGCCTTCCGTTTTTCCATCCATTTGGGACCATAATGCAAAACAAAGGCTAAATAGGCAGCAATAACGCCGAAGACGGGAAATGGCGAGCCCACAAGCGGTAAATGTTGCACACGAGGATCTGCAAAGCAAAACGCAGGAATATAGAGGTTTCCCTTTATTGAAATCAAAGAATAAGGTACTCAAAAAACTACTTTTTATTTAAAGTTTAATTTCAGTTTTCTCTTAAAGTCCTTGTCCTTACATACCCCTGTGCTCCTCGAAAATGCCATGCAATAGTTGATATATATATTTTGTTATGTAAGCCATATTTTGTATAGATTTCCAGCAAATTTAATTTATTTTTGCTCTGTCTGCTCTACTCCTTTTACGGCCTCGCACTGCCACACAGGCTAGTTGTTTCTATAGGTTCCCCAGCTTTTTTGTTCAGCATAGGATCACTTTCGTGTGCGGAATGGAAATTTTCGATTCAATTATGAAGCATGGCTGGCTGGTTGTGAAATGAAGAAAGTTGTAATTGTTCGCGATTGTCAAGGTGTTCAGTGTCGCCTCAACATTGGAAATGAACCTTTGTATAAAAGAAAATAAAATTGGAATTGAACTTTCTACAAGCGTTTAATTCGTGTGGCCTCAATAGTAAATGTTGCATAATTAATTTATTTAGCATTTACAGCTCTGTCAGCGTACTACTCGATTGCGCACGAGTACATACATTGTTGTGCGCTTACAGTGGTGGCCGTATAATCGGAAACGCTATTAGCTTTATCAAATAAGTGGATAGTAATGCACTTGTTTATGTTTTTAAATGTAACTGAATTTTTAAACTGATACGAGTAATATTAATTTTTATTTGTAAAGCATTATTGCTATGAGTACATACACGTTTTATTCACTAATCATATTTCAAAAAAATAAAATAAAACATCACTAGTAACTACTCGATATGATTCGAATACGTTGTATGCGTAGGTCACGCCCACCCAAGCTTATCTAAAGCAAGGTAAAAATAAGGCAAACTACACTCAACTATTTTTTCAAAGCGTAAGGTCTGATTATGGCAACTTAACGTAGCTTAGAGGCTGTCACTTAAAAATTCTCTTAATTGGACATTGCTTATATTTGGACATGAGAAACTAAACGTAACTTAATGCGCGACAACAAAGTCTGTTTCATTTTGATTTTCTAGGTTCTAAGTCATGTTAGTTAAGTTGCCATAATCAGACCTTTAGGCATTCAGAAATTATGTCACACTTTGAAAAACGGATTTTCTTTTAAACTATAAACAGAACCAAATCGCTGAGCGAACTTTGTCTGAAGAAAGTTCGCTGTTAAAATGAATGAAAACACACTGCAGTATATGTATGAGATTGTACAATTCGGAAGTGACAACGTAATTCGCCTAACGAAATTCGGCGAGAATATATGGATTTATTTTTAATTTTTCTGCTGCCGGCGATCACAAAAGCCCTTTTTCACTTGCCTAGCATATAATTATTAGGAAGAAGCTGAATGAGAAAATTTGGGGACTCATCTTCTCGCTTTTAATTTTTATATTTTTTATTTGTCATTCAGCTGATGCGAATTTCATTTCGGTGCTTGTTTACTGGGCAAAATGTTGCAACGAATATCATCCAACGGTATCGCGGCGTCCATCAAAATTCACTCAGCGATTTAGTTCTGTTTGTTTACTTTTTAACCGACTTCCAAAAAAGGAGGAGGTTATCAGTTCGTCGGAATATTTTTATACCCGAGCGCACTTGTGCACAAGGGTATATTAATTTTGTTCACATAACGGTTGTTTGTAACAGCCAAAACGAATCGAGATAGATATAGACAAATGTATACATAAATGCTCAGAATGAAAAAATAAATCGATTAAGCCATGTCTGTCTGTCCGTCTGTCCGTCCGTCCGTGTACACGATAACTCAAGCAAAAATTGAGATATCTCAACGAAATTTGGTATGTAGGTTTCCCTTAATCCAAGGTAGGCTGGTATTGAAAATGGGCGAAATCGGACTGTAACCACGCCCACTTCCCATATAACGGTAATTTCCAGAAATACGAAAACTGCGATATTTTAGTAACTACTGAAGATAATTCACTCAAAATTGATATTTGCAACGATTTTTAGACGAAAAATAAGAATATTATAAATATTTGGAAAATGGGCGTAGCCACGCCCACTTATGGTTACATGTGTATATCTTAGGAAATACAAAATCTTCGATAAATCAGTAAATATTGAAGCTAATTTATTCAAAATTGATGCTTGCAACAATTCTTTACCAAGAAATACTTTTATGGTAAAATTTTGGAAAATGGGCGGGGCACCGCCCACTTATGATCACATATATGTATCTCGGTAACCGTTCTACCAATTTGTACCAAACTCGGTATGGTTATTGTGCTTGCTACATAAAAGAAAACCGTTGAAAATTGTTGAAATCGGACTAAAATTACGGCCGCTTTTCATATAACGGTAAATTTCAGAAATGCTTGAAACTGCAATATTTCGAAATTTAAGGACGCTAATTTACTCAAAATTGATACACCCCGGCTTACCATCTAGCGGTAGGTTTCGAAAAGGTGAAAAAACATATATTTAATATTTGCGGCGGGTATTTAATGTTCGGCTCCGCTCGAACTTAGACTTTCTTACTTGTTTTTTGTTGGGTTGACGGTGTAATTGAACGGGCGTGCGGTATAGCTTTACGGAAAGTTGGTTAAGTGCCTTTATAAATGCATGTGTACATAAATAAAAAAAAAACTATATATAAATCGATTTAAACACAGTTTTGGATTTCAAGGACCTATGAAAAATTTAGCTATACATTTTTTTGTACGACATATGTATAAATCTCTTAACTCTTACTGAAGGGATTTTTGTCCCTCAATTTGAAATAGTTCCATCTGAGTTTAATTAAAAATATTTTAGACAATTTTAGAGTTAAAAGAATAACAGAAATGCTAATCAAAGAATTTTCTATCGAATTGAGCTAAGCTAAAAAAAACGTACACCACGAGAAGCTAACCGCCTAATTTATTTTTTTTTGGAAGTCAGTTGAATAAATTAATAACTTTTCAGCATGTTTTGAAATTTGAGCTGAAGTTACAAACTCTTATATTTTACATTTTCATATATGTATGTGATGGGCACCTTAATGTACAGTTTAATGAAAATAAGTAGCAGATGAACATACGTACATTATTGTTAAAAAAAAAAATTAACATCAGTGTCACTATGTGTTTCATAAGGGCAAGTATTTCCAGGTGAAACCTTAATGCTGACAGTAGACAACGGTTGAGGCAACGTGTTGTTTAATACACACAGCAAGCAGCAAGCGTACGTAGATGTAACCATTGCGGCAACCTCAGTAGTGTGTGCTATTGGGCATACGGAAGAAAACGTTTTTTACTTATGCCAAAACGCCTTTTCTCCGAAATTTTTTGCAATAAACTAAGTCAATAAAAGTAACTCACAACGATACAAACGAGGCAACCGATACGGCGAGGCCAATTCATACAAGTGGTGTTAGCGGAGCAGCTGATTTCAAGGCGAATCGCGCTGATTGTCAAAATTATATGTTTGTTGTAAATTTTTTTCTTTGTGAATGTCATCATGCGTATAGTATGTTAGTGTCATTTTTTGGTATAAATTCGCTTTGCGATACGGCAACCAACACAAAATATCAAAATAACGGTTGCGGAAACACGATTTTTTTTTTAGCAACAATGCTGCACACCATGTCATAGTTGCTTCAACGGATGCCGCGTGTGTATTCAGCATTATATTGTTTACATGTTTACATTTGTTTTTTTACTTTTTAGACACTTAGGCATTCGCGCTAGGTTGAATGCATTACTTTAACAACAAGTACTAAGCTTTAGAAATAATATTAATTCAAATTGAACATTTTCATCAGCAATACATATCTTATTTAATATCTAATAATACTAATATCGTCGCTCGAATAAAGAAACAGTGTAAATGCCACATACACTATTATTCGATAATTGCACCATTGTATAGACAATCCTTTAATCTATTAGATAAATCTTTAGTTTTCTTAAATATCTCTTTGGCTCACTAATTTATTCCTGAAAAACTAAATTGTATTTGTATGGTTTGTAATGGTTTATAAAAACTTCCAATTCGTTTTTCTCAAATCTATACTTTTCATGTTACACTATTTCATTATTCCAGCGACGATATAACAAACAAAAATAAAAATTTATCAAACTTCACATCAACAGTCAATATCTCTAAAATAAGGAAAAATTTTTTGTTAAAAATCCACAGCTAAATATGTATATATTTAAAAATTGAAAGACAACAGAAGCAGAGCTTAATTTTTTTTTTTTTTTTTTTTGTTTTTCTTATAACGCTCATTATTCACTTTTTTACGTTAGCTGTAATTTTTGCATTTCATTTATTCCGTGCTGCATTCATACAAATTCACGAGTTACTGAACCTTTTACGCATTACTTGTTTTTTACCTCACTAGGCTATTGACGTGGAGAATTAAAAGCTTCGCCGACCTATGTAAATTCATACGGAATTTCTATTAGCATATTAAGAGATACACTGTGGAAAATAATTTCAAATTCAGCGGCAATTATTTAGGTTCACTCAACAACAATTCATACATACTCGCATATGCTATATAAAAGTATGTATAAATGTACATTAGCCCTATGATTTTTTTCCAAAAATTTTATAAAGTTTTTAACAATCATACTACTTTTTGCCCATATAATACCGCATATAAGAAAAAAACAGCAAATACAATTTCCACATATATGAAAAACCACAAGGAGAAGCTCCACATATTAGAAAAAACACATAAATAATTACTTTTCCGATTCTTTCGCTATAAGCTCCGGATGATTTATGAAATATATAATACAATTTGGATATCAGGTTACAGTTTGTAAATGAGGTTTACGGAAGCTTCATGGAAGTTCTTTTCGAAGAGGGTTGCTTGAAATTTAAAATTTTTTAACACTTTGGTACTTATCATAGTTTCTGTGATTATTTTGGCACTTAGCAATTTTACGTATCGATGCACAGAAATGGTTTAAATTAAAATAGGTAGGCCGATCTTTTAGAAAACGATGCGTTTTTAATCATTTTTTCTTCATCCATCAAAATATATATATTTTTTTTTAAGAAGAAGAGGACTTATCAACTTTTCACTCTTAGTTCGCGATATGTCGTTTTAAAAAGTAAAATAAAATAGTTTTGTAAAAGTAGCAAATTTCGCTGCTTTTTACTAGGAGTGGATCTAGCTAATATTGTACTGGTTCGTTTTTGGCGATAAATATTTTATAATTAACTAGAAATTTGGTTCAGGGACATGCTTGCCTACATATGAGTATAAATGTATGTGACGATTTATTAGTAATTGTTAAAAAATATATGTCTCTACATTGTTGCTTAAGTACATAATACGGTGTTTACAAGAGGCGCTTTTACAGGAAACTTTTAGTTGAAAGCAACAATCGCCTGGTGTGAACGGCCTTTCAACTAAACGCTGCCAATGAAGTTAGAGTGCAGCCAACTTTTGATTCAACTAATCGCCTCTAAAGTTGCCTGGAAAATCGTCTCATGTGAACGACTTTTAAGAAACATTCCCTTTCATATGAATTTCCAATTTAAGCAGGAATAAAATGCAAATTAGTTTTGTAATTTTTGATTCTGTTGCGATAAACAGTTCATTAGTCGAACTAGAGAATGTACACAAAGTGTGTTCTCCGAAGAGCACAACTTTTTTACTCCTATGTATGTGAATTAGGGTGGTCTAAAAATGTATGTGCAAAAGAAAAGGTCGGATTTTTTATGCTCTCACCCCTTAGGATTGTTCTATACCCCAAAAAAACAATATACTCTTATTTTTTTATTTTAAATTAAAAAATATTTCGAGGTCACTCAATGCGCTCCGAGTTTTCCTTGTATTTTATATGGGGAAAAAATGGTTAGATACACAATTTGGTATTGTTATTTGAAGTCTCCTGCAGAGAACCGGAGTTTTCTGATCGAAAAAAATAGGTTTTCAAGAATTCCATGCCATGTCTGCGAGAAGTTGTTTTTTCCCATATAAAATACATAGAAAACTTTGAGCGCTTTGAGCGACCTATAAATATTTCAAACTAAAAAAATTGCGGTATATTTTTTCGATATAGAACAATCCTAAGGGGTGAAAGCATTAAAATTCCGACTTTACTTATTTGGGATCACCCTAATGTGGATACATACATAGGTATGTAGTAGTGTTAGGCAGTTTCGATACCAAAAGTACTCAGAACTCGATTCACAAAAGGATCGACAGAACCCGATTTTTAAAAAGTATTAAAGATACTGATTACTCCAAGGTACTCAGTACTCACAAAAAAAAAAAAATCGAACGTACCCAGAACTTAAAAGAACTTGAAAGTACTCAGTACTTAAAAATACTCTGTTCCAATCACCACTTTGATGCATGCACTCAGATTCGATTCAAAGTACTCAGTATTAAGTGACGAATAGATACTTAAAAGTACTGAGTTTTATTTATATTTTCCGGTATTCAGACTTACAGATTCTTTGTACAAAGATTTTGTCTGAGAGGACCCCTAGTGAAGTTTTAGGGCAAATTATTTTCTAGAAGATTTTAACCCTCTAGCGACCTTCAAAATGCCATTTTATTCGGACTTTCTAAAAATAGGGTCAAAGCGACCCTTTTTTGAGGGATATAACGGGTTAAAATGTTCTATAAAATTATTCCTCGTAAAATTTTACTATATGGTTCGAAACAACATATTTCTCTCCGATATGTCTCTTTTTTTAATTTATTCTAAAGACACTTAGCCAAAATATTGCAAATTTAAAATGGTCATAGCAAAGAAATTTGACCAAAGAATGTAAAACGATTTTGAGGTTTTGCTATACGGATCTTGATATTTCATCCAGAGTTGGAATCATTCCGCCCCAGACAATGACCCTCAAATTGTTGCACAGTGTTATCGGAACTGATGAAAATTTTATAAATAAAACTTGATTTTGAAAGCAGGTCTGATGAGCTTCACAAAAAATGTCTACCCTTCTGTTACATTAAGAAAACTTTACACTTAATATATTAAGGTCACGAAAAGGCCTTTTAAAAAAGGTAGCAACCCTCTCTGAATACCTCATATTGTGATACAATTTCAGTCACCCAATTCCCTTAATTCGAGTTGAATTTGACTTGTTAAAGAGGCGGCTACCCTCCTACTTGAAGTTTTAAAATAAAACCATTTCAGAACCATTTCGAAATAATTCATTTATTATAAAACTATACTTTTTCGGGACTTAAGTCGCTGTGAGCCTTTTTTTAATTTTTTTTTATTCATCTTAAGGCCCGGCCACACAGAAAGCGGTCTGTCGAGCTGGGAAGCGATCCAGCGGTTGTCGCGGCGGTCTGCGATATGGGGACGTTACACAGAACGCGATATTTTTGTGTGAGCGGTAACTGTTTTTCTTCAGAGATTATATACGTGTATAGTATGTTTTCATATTAGTTTTTATTTGATATTGTTTAATATTTATGAACCAGTGAGATATGTACGATTTCCCGAAGAATTTTTGGCGCTGAATTTGCATACGGACTCAGAATTTTTTTAACATGTGAGGTTTTTTAGATATCCTAAACTAAAAACGCAAGCGCAAAAATAGTATTTTTCGTATACTTTGATATATACTTATATACTTTTAAATACTTATTTGAAGAAATGTGTTTACGGTTCTACATAACCGTAAATGTGTAAAAAAAAACTTTTTTTCGCACTTTTAGATTAGGTTATCTCAAAAATCTGACATAGATTCGGATACAACGTCTAAAATTCTACAAGAAATCACATACCACAAGATATCTTTTCATTTTGAATTGAAGCTAACACACACAAAATCTGTCATTTTTTACAGACGGATTACTCGTCGTCGCGACAAAGACTAGCGGGAGGCGGTAGACCGCATTCAGTGTGACAGAGATGGTACAAAACTGAATAGTACAACTATATCGCCTGACCGCTTCGGTCGGATATCACTTTCTACCGCGACATACCGCTTTCTGTGTGGACGAGTCTTTAAACTTAGTGTTCCACAGTCATAGTCGTAAGTTAAAGCTCATTATTGCTAAAATAAAGTTTTAAGTTTAGAATAGATTTTTAAGTTGTGTCAATCATAGACATCTTAGAAACAGCTTTTTGATAAGATAAGAGAAAAGAGCTATCCATATGAAGAGAAAAAATTTACTCGGCAATATAAAGAAATATGAGTACTTTAATTAGTCCACCCTGTGCCTGCTGCAGGATGGCGCATTTAGCAAGCCGGGAAGACGTGGGTTCAAATCCCACTTTTTTTTTTGTTCTTTTAATTATTATTTAATTTTTAAATGTAATTATATTTGTTGTGACCCTTTTAACTAAAATTTAATTCCAAAAAAATTGATTAACTTGAAATAATTATGTGAAATGCCATAAACAAAAAAAGATAATAAAATAAAATTTAATAAAATGAAGTAATGTTAATATTAAAAAATATATATAATAAAAAAACTGGAATCGCTCGGAGTGGGGACCGAACCTGGGTGCTATTGCATTTACCACTTCAACAACAAAACCAAACATATAACCTTATTTTAGCATTTTAAAGCCGCGTTCTCCTCATTTTAGAATTAAAATTCTGTTTTTGCTATAAAATGCATTTTAAGTTGACTTTGAAGAAGTTAAAATGGTGATTACAATAAAGCACAATTTTAATCGTGAGAACCTTTTTCTGACGTCTCTATGATTACGGGCCAGTATTTTTACATACAAAAACAAATCGGCACTGTTTTTCCGTCGGAATTATCTTCTGTATTTAAAGACTTCCTAAAAAATATTTCTGAAAACTATTAAGATTTACGTACATAGATAAGCTGGACGAATTTTAAAAAATACCTCCAAAAATATAGTTTCTTATATATAATCCTAGTTTTTAAAAACATTTTGTTTTTTTATCACACCAGATGATATCAACGGAATCAAAAAATTAGACTTTTAAGTAAATCTTAATATTTTCCTGAAATATTTTTGCAAAGGTTTGTAAATATAATATTTACACGCAACTTTTTTGTGAGGTTTTGACTACGCCAAGTTTTTACTTGTTTACTGAAAACGCTTTCGTCTATATATTTGATTAGTTTAATTTAACTAGGTTATAAATAAATGAACTTCACTTCCTTTTAAAGTTAATAATTTTTTGAGTTTATAGTTTGTGTAATACCAAACTCGAATAAGTTTTCATTAATATTTCTTAATTATATACTAAGTATACATGTGTACATATCGCTAGTTTTGTTTGTAGTCTCATTGATATCTCGCTCGCAAATCACGACCAGCACTCTCCAACATTTGTTTGCTTAATTGGGCATAAATCAAAAAGTTCCAGTCAATCTAGAAACTAACACTCAAAGTGTGTATAAGTACTGCTTAGCTCTTTTGTTAGTGTACTTTAGCTACATTCAACGTACTCGAGGAGCCACTAGAAGAAACACCTGCAACAGAGTGGCAAACTGCTGAATGAAGCTGCTGCTGTTGTTTGCTGTTTCTCATGGTTTTCTTTTCGCTTAGTTTGCGCACATAAGTTTTGTAGTAAAAATCGCAGAAGAGTATGAGCATAAAGAAATTTTGCAGGAATGCTACCCATATCCAAAACAAGTCCAGACCACACCAATTATTCAGTATTGGCAGGGATAATTGAATAGTTAATGAGCAGAATTGCAATATCTGCAGCAGAGTGAGTGTTCGCTTCCATGGCGTTATGTCCGCTTTCCACTTCATGGTGGCCATCAAATAATAACTGTACATACAGACGTGTATGAAGGAATTGATGATGCCGGTGAAGGTGAAGTGTGCAGCTGAAGCCAAGAATGGAAATGTTTTTTAAGTTTTGTTTTTGTTTTTTTTTGGGAATTTTGCATTTTTAAATCTTACCAAAACTTAAAGTGCAATAAACCCAAACGGCGAACACCATAATTGTGTGATGATACACATGGAGGAATGTAATTTGTCTGTTCTTTTTTCGAAGCAAGAAAAATAACTGTAAGTTAAAATAGAAATTTAGAATTGAAACTGTTCGCTAAATCCCTTATATGTAGTTCCCAACTCACTGTGTCCAATAGATCCATGTATTTGGAAATGTAATAAAGATATGCAGGTATGAGCAAGGCCATCATTTCAGGGCTCGTATCCTTTGGGTCATATCGTTGGCAGGAGACATTAAAGTAGGGTTTCAGATATGAAGCACGAAGAGACTAGAAGTAGAAGTAAAATTAACATACATATTTAAAATTCTTCAGACTGTCACTTTTATGATAATTGTTTTTTATGTTGAATTTGAAAATTTATCGCAAATATTAAACTTACCGCCGTAAATATGTATGCATTAAGCGCCACCTGAATAAGATTATATATCTGTATTAAGGGCTTTACATTAAATGGCTTTCTGTCTTCCATAAATTTAGGCCCCCACTTCATTACGATGAACAGGTAGACTGCTAAAACCGCAAACATTGGCCATGGAGGACCCAGAAGGGGCAATGAAGAAGTGCGAAGATCTAAAATAAAAACAAAAATATTTGTGATGGTTATTTTTTGACCTGGTAACAATTTATATTTAAAAAATTTTATTGTGCTAAGGCCGCTTTTAATTAAAAATTTTGTCAAAAAACAACAATAATTTACATGAGGTAGAAGTTATAGCTTATATTTCAAATATTTTTTTAATAAATTTTAACCAAAACATGTAATTTTGTGAAAAGAACTTTTATTTTAAGGTATACATGTAAACCGTGCGGACCTATAATGGAGCGGGTACCTATAAATGGCTTACAACCTTTTGCATATTAAAGCTGTAGGATAAACGTAAACTTCAGCTGATGTGTGAAGGTACTGTCGTTCACCGTGGGGAAGAGCGTATCGCCACAATTTGTATTAAAGCGAGGCTCTCTAACAACTCTTTCATTTGCTCTCACTCCACGGTGGAAGGGATGGGCAAACGCAGCTCATAGTATTTCTGCTGGCGTTATTAAAATTCTAAGTGACAAATTCTCCTAGCAATGGGTTGTGCGCTGGGTTTGGGACCCGCCACGTAAAAACCACTTCCGGTGAAGAACCAACACGAAGCCTGGGACTACAGTTTGATAGCGTGCAGCTCGAATATCCGGATCTTTAACGGGAAAGTTGCTTCTGTCCGGCTGGTTGATTTTCTCGTCCGTCGGACGGAGTGCAAATTCGGTATTGGATTTGGGGTTGCAGAGAGACTCCGTCGCCAAGTACTGTCTTTCACCCCGGTGAAAGAACGTGTCGTCACAATATGCATCAAAGCGAGATTCTTCAACATCTCGCTCATCTGCGCTAATGCCACGAAGAAAAGAAGGACGACGCGTTCGTGGCTTGGAGCGCACACACAAGCGCTGCGCCGCCATAATATCCAAATCGTGCTTGTCGACTTCAATGACAGGGTGGGCCAGGAAGGGATCTTTGGAACCACCGTCGGAAAATTCAGTCTCCACGACACAACGTCCGATAACCGACTGAGGCTGATGAACTTCGCCGGGGCCGGAAACATGGAGGTATGTAGTACTATGTTCAAGCCTAAAAAGATGCATCAAGCTACGTGACTGTTCCCAGATCAAAAATCGAGAAACCAAATTGATCAAGTTGGGATAGACGGAAGGCACGCTTCCAGTATTTTAGACGTATGGACACTCCGAGGTCCAAACATCGACTCGGACCACTATTATGTTGCAGTCAAAATACCCACCCACCTCTGTGCCGCAAAAAATTTGCGCCCCAATATTCAAGGAAAGCTTCACGTCGAAAAGCTGCAATCACAACAGACAGCCAATGCATTCGCTACTCGACTCTCACACCTGCTCTCGAGGGCACTCTTCAACAAACCGACACATGCGAGCAGTGGAACCATCGCTCATTAAGTACCGCCGCCGAAGAAGTAGTCGGATTTCAGCAAACACGAAAGAACAACTGGTACGATGAGGAGTGTCAGGAAGCTGCAGAGAAAAAAGATGCCGCCTACAGGACCACGCTGTGATCGGGCGCAACGCGAGCCATGTGGGACCGCTATAGGGATCTGAAGTGGGAAGCGAGACTTAGTAGCCGAGACAGGGAGACTACGTTTCACGTGATTTCTTTAATCTGATGTTGGGGAAGATAATACGAGCCGCAGAACTGAACCGGTCAGGAGCAATTTTCTACAAGAGCGTGCAATTGCTAGCGTACGCCGATGATATCGACATCATTGGTAACAAGAATCACGAAGTCTATTCTGCCTTCTCCAAGTTGGATAAAGAAGCAAAACGATTGGGTCCGGTGGTCAACGGGGATAAGACGAAAAATCTCCTGTCAGCAAACATTAAAGACATAAGCGTACAAAATACGCAAAAACTTTCAAGATTATTAAATTATAAATAAAATAAAATTAAATTAAAACTTGTGTTACCCACCCCTACTGAATGCAACATCTGCCTTGCGTATTTCCTTGTAAATTAGATGCAAAATAAGAAACATTATATCACTCTATCAGTTGTCACTTTTTCTCTGTTAAGGCAAAGTTGCGAAGTTAAAAATTTACACAAAATACCGCAGCAATACTCGACGGATTGGCGTTTTGTTATTAACTACTTGCTAATCAAAGCTATCGAGGCTAATATTGACTTAGATCGGGCGAGTAAATAATGAGCTACTTTTTGAAGCGTTTGCTTTTTCGGTTATAATTAAATGTTTCTTCTCCTTCACTTTTGCATTTGCGATTGTATTTATTTGCAATTTTTGTGTAATTATAGCAAATTTAAAGGCGGTTTTAGTTTTTAATTATTTGTACCATTGCGCTTTTGCATTAAACATTAATTATGCATACTTGGTACAGGGTGGCGCATAGAATACGACTACTTGGAACTTTATAGCTATGCTTAAGGAGGACGATCTGAAGTTATATAACAATTTTTTAAGAAAAAAATTAAGGAAAAAATAAATTCTATATACATACGTACACACTTTAGTACTTCTGAAATATTAAACAAAATATTAGAGTTTAGCAAAAATTTTATTTCATAACTTAAAGTATTTTAAGCAATACAACAACACATCACCCTATATAATCCCAATTTTTTTCTGATTTATTTTTATTTTATTTCAGTTTTTAATTCGCTTAAAAATTGCAGTGATGAGTTCAAGGTCTCCAAATGTTTAGAGCAAAGGTAAGCAGAATGTTGAACTAATGAAGGCAAATAATTTGTGTGCATTTTTTATGCACCGTTGTTCAAATAAACTAAACCTGACAAGCCAGACGGTTACTTGTTTGTACGATTTTATGTAATACCAGACGCGTGAACAAATATACATTTAAATAAGTAAACAAAAGCTAGAGAAATAGAATTGCTAATAACGTTCTAAGAATGGCCGCTAATTATATTATGGAGCAATATAATATAGGCCAAAGTTCCCAGCCGTGCTGGTACGTACAGCATTCTGGCACAATATAACTCACTCACTCTTAGGTCAAGGCCACGCAATGAGCGGCAAGCGGCTGAGCGGGTGAGTGGTGCCATACAAAAATGCCACTCAGCCGCTCAGAGCATGGCCACTTCAATAGTATTTCATATGTTTTAAGTAATAGGTATATCACAATTTTAGAGTACTTCTAGCAGATTGTGAAGGTGGATTAATAATTATTTATTAAGCTATTTTTCTTTAGGCAGGACCACAAGTATTTATATATTCCTTTTTCATGTGGCGCCGATTGCCTGTTTGTGCCGAGACTAAAACCTATCGCTCCTACCTGGGCCTCTCCTTTGCGAAATGACGCCAGTCGTTTCCATAAAAGTAAATAGGTCATTGCTTTTTACTAGAGTACCACCAGCCATCAACACGACATGTCTAATGTATTTTAAATACTTAACTATGTCCACGAAGTTATAAATCTCGCACAGATCGTACATTCCATATTCTTCTGTACGCGTCATACGCGTCACCAAGGCGAACAGCGATATAGACAGCGTTGAATAGATCTCTAGAAATCATTCTCATCTTTTTAGACATCTTCCTTGTTCCTGTATCATATAAAGATATTTTTCACTTTTAATTTCATGAGACCGACGATGTAAATATCATCTGCGGAAGCAAGCAACTCGCACATATCCTCGTTGTTTTTAAGCCACATTATTGCTTATTGACACGTCTGGGTCAAGTTCCGGAATGTAAACTATGCCCCGTTCGTATATCCATTTGATTTCACCTAATTCGTATTAATGTTTTTTGAAGTGAAACTTCTTTAACGGAGGTTGGTTGGTTGCAGTTATACCGCTCGTTGTGTTATTTTTAGGTTTAGTAGATCGATTGCTGGGTGGAAGATCGACCTATTTCGGCAGCCAGTTCGAAAATGCTCTCAAAAAACTTTTCAAGAACGCCCTATTTCAGAAATTTATTGAAAAACACCCTATTTCGGAATTCGTTTCAAAAACGCCCTATATCAACACATTTTCAATACATTTTGAAGTGAGATATGGCATTTTTGAAACAAATTCTGGGAAAGGGTGTTTTTCAATAAAATTCTGAAATAGGGCGTTCTTGAAAAGTTTTTTGAGATAGGGCGTTTTCGAAATGGCTGCCGAGGTAGGTCGATCTTCCGTATATAGCCAACATTGGTCTAATTTTTCTATTTTATTATCTAACAAATTTTCGAAAATTCTCACAACCACGGCGTTTTCAGCCTTATGCAGAATTTTCCGCCAAATCCAAATATGATGGCCTCACATTATGAATATGAAATGCTCTTCCAGATATATTAAAATTTCGCTCGTTTTTTTATTCTCATTTTGCGTGCATGTGCAAGTTGTTTTTATATAGCGAAAACTTAGCTAATTTTATAATTTTACATTTTTACGAAATAGTCATATAAATAAACTATATGTCGAAAAAAGGCGTTATTAGTAATCAATGTAGTTAAAGCTCGGGAAAAATGTCGAACCTTCGGTGTCTGTCAGACTACCACGTCAGTCGCAGAGGGTTAAATGCAACGGTTTGTTCAACTCAACTTCATACACATGTAAAACGGCTATGAAGTATTTTCGAAATCATAACAACGCAGTTCACGCAAATATGACTTAAGTAGTTTGAATTGTGAAATAGAGTGAAAAAAAATTCGGATAGCTAAAATCTGGCTGTTTGATAAAAGTTCGTTTAATTGGCTACTGTTGCATCTACCAAAAGTTCTGTTAATTGAAATTGCTCGATTGGTGTTGCAATTAGCCGGTTTCGACTGTATATTTATACACATTAAAAATCTAAAATTAATTATTATTACATTTTAGCAGATTTCCGCTAAAACAGCACGCTGATGTGTGTAAGTATGTAGAAAGAAGAAAATAAACGTTACAATTTTCGCTGTTGTGAGTAGTTATCTGTGAAAACAAGTAGGAAGGCAGTCGCCGGCCCAACTACAGCCGTAGGCAATCAAGCTGCACTAACTTGGTCCGCGAATAGGGATATCACCGTTATAATGGCAATGCATGTGAGCGCAGCAAATTTCTAGT